AAAAACTTCATGTGACACGAATTTCGAATTTATTTTCACATATAGAAAAGCAGCCTCAGGGAAATGTCACATGACTAATAGTAGAAAAATGAGATACAAGGCTTGGAATATTTTCTTTATATATTAAAAACATATGTAACCAAATTTATAAGGGTTGTTACTATACCAAAAAATAATAACTCACTCTTAATTCTATCCAATTAAAACTTTGAATATATTTGTAAAACTAAAGGTAAATATACATAATATATAAGAACGGTTGATGTTTTTTATGCAAGATATTTCCTCATTTGTATTTCTTCGACCAAGATTGACAAGGTTTTTTATAACAAAATGAACACATACTTTCCATCCAAACTTAACTTAACGTTAAAAATAAAATAATAATAATATGCATTAAAATTTGTAATTACAATCAATATAATTAAAATTCAAATGTAAATATCTGAAACTTTAACAAGATAACAAGCCCAATAAATCTTTTTTGTTCTGTTAAATATTCCATTTTTCAAAATTACAATACAAAATTTTCATTTTCATTTCGAAACTCTTTTTTTTGTGATTAAATTATATTTTTATATTTGTCTACGCACATAAAAGTTCCATTAAATATAGGACCATTTGAAATTGTAATCCAAGCTCTAAGATTTAAATAAGAATGAAGGTGTTGAATTTTAGATGTACCTTGTGGTATATCTGGTGATTAACAAAATGATTAAGTAATTTGTTACAAGTATAATAATAAGCGTAATTAATAATAAAGACATTTTTTCTGATGCAAGGCAACCGTAGATGGGTGACTAAGGTCAGAATAGTATGTCTAAAATGTCTAAATGTAAGAATGCTGGATGCAGATGATGCGTTCTAATCGAATTTGGACATTACAGTCAAACTTCATTTCAACGGATAAACGGTGCTTGGTGACATTAATTTTGGCTTAATATTAAAAAAATCTACTCCAGAAACATAGTGGACATTACCTCAATTATGAGGCCTACCCCGGAGTGGGTAATGTGGTAATAGTAATGTTGGTTACACGAATCAAATAATCCACTATGCTTTATGTAATAATAATAATGAAAGGACGGAATAAATAATAATAATAATAATAATAATAATAATAATAATAATAATAATAATAATAATAATAATAATAATAATTATAATAATAATTATAATAAAACAGTTAAAAATTATATATATATAAAATAAAACAATACTAATGCAGCATAGTGGACACTGTTGCAGATCACAAAAAATTGATCAACATAACATATGTTATGGTGAAAGTTCTTGCAAAAGTTTGATTATAAAAGTGTGAGATAATTTTGATCTTGCTGATGATCTGGACTTAGAGAGGTTACAGCTATATTCTAGTGAAGTTTCAGAAGCAACAGGCTCTGTGTAACCACCTGCATATTATACAAATGACTGTTGATCTGCAACTGTGCCCACTATGCTTACTAATGCATGTTGATTGTGCAAGTATATTAATATATATATATAAATATGGTATATAGGAACATAATAATAATGGGCAATTGAGTAATGGTTCCCTCAAAGTTATTAATATAAATATAATAATAATATATATTAATATTAATATTAATATACCATTATTGTGCTAAGCAAACATGGTCTGATTTTCTCTCCAGTTGTGTAATGAAAAAAAATTTTTAACATGTTTTTCAAGTCTCATTAAGGTTGCTTACACAATGTATATATACAACTTTTCACATAATGGAATATTAATATATATATTAATACAATTTCGAATCTCATCTTTTCACACAATTACTATATACAAATTATGATTGTTGAGAATACTATTGAAAAGTTTTTACTTGAGGCATCATTGGAAGCTATCACCCCAACAACAGTAATATTTCAGACAATACACGGTAATGGACAAATATTAAAGCTGTACAAGGAATTAGAACCAGCAATAAGGAGAGGAATTAATACATCCATTGCAAAACTGGATGATGGTTTTCAATGGAATCCCTGTATCCGAACAATTTATAAAGTTAGTCATGAAGTAAGTTTCATCCCTCAAGTGCCCTTTTGCATAATATAATGATGATGTCACAGGATATGGTCCATAACCAAGTAGTATATACAAGTCTTCTCATGTTCTTGAGGTCAGAATAGAGTTATTCTTTACAACCAAATAGAGTATATCTTCTTATGCTCTTGAGGTTGGAATAGAATTGCTTTTGATGGCCAACTAGTAAGCACAAATGACATATTTATTACTTTTTTGGTATATGTGAAGGCCATGTCTTCTATCTGGTTTTATCTGAGTATGCACACACTGTATATGTGTAATTTGTGCATGTATATTATGATTTCTAATAAAATCTCTGTGATATATAGCTATCTTCTGGATATGATTCTATTAAAAATCTGTTGTTGATTGGCATGTTATCAGAGGTATTTTATTCTTGTCTGTTTATTACTACGAAAAAAAATTCATCTTATAAATAAGAGATATGTATAACAACCGATAGATGAATGTAGTAACTCGGAGATTGTTGACAAAAACCTCAAGGAGCTGAAAAAAAAGCTTGCTGTAAGTAAAAATAATGATTTTATTATATATATTAATAATATTGATTTTAATATTGACAAACTTTTTGATATGTTCAAGTCACCAATTTCTGACAAAGATACTGAGTTATGTGATGCTTTGCTTGAGGTGCTAAATGATATTAATGCCTATCAACTCAATTGGATGGACCCTATTGCTCTTTTTTCATAGAATCCTTGACAGGACTAGCACACGAGCAGTTTATGGTATGTATGTCAAGGGTTTACTTTGTTGGGCATTTTTATAGGAACCTTTGAAATGCATGACGCCAAATTTACCTTCAGAAATCGTTACAAAATGCGTAAAATTTGTGAATGAATATAAAAATCAGTATGATGACAAACCTGAAAATTCCAGATTGAATCTCATTCATGATGCATCATGGAAAGATGGGATTTCTAGACAAAAAAAAGTTGTCAACAATATATTAGCTATAATGTAAGTAATTTATCTGATCTTTTAATCTAAGTATAAAATTGATTTAACTGTTTATGATAATGATAGAAATGAGACATGGAGTAATCTGGTATTTTTGGAAGCTGAATTTCACAACTACAACAAAATGAATGAAGGGACCTATGTTGCCGATGTTATACTTCCCCTTATTTGAGCTTCGTTAAATGGACTTCAATGTGGGGGACATACATATATCACTATGTAGGTTATCATCAATACTTATATTATTAAGCCAATGTAATAAATAATGATGTAACTTTTTTCTATAGTGCTGAAATTCAAAGTTTAGCAAGCCAGTCCAGAAAAAATGAACAAGAGGATAGTATACAGATCAGTGATAAACCTGATATCATGTTCACAATGACATCAAATAATAAAATTTTTGAACTCCTTTTTGCTGAATGTTCTCGAATACTATGTACTCTACGTAAGAAAGATGATGATTCTATAAAATTGTGGCATGATACAAATGACGGATAGGGTTTTTATTCATGAATATCATGAATATCATCATTAAGGGGGTTATACACTATTAAAACAGCAAAAAATCCCTTAAAAACATGAGTTGATCACTTGATTTTAATAGTGTGTGCCCCTGTGTGACTCCCTTATGATATTCATGAATACAAACCCTAACAACAGAATGTCCTGGGTATGGAAGGAGTGTAAACCTGCAAAAAATCAATTTGGCATTGTAGGCATTCAAGTCCATGGTATATTTTAAAGAAAGCTTGTTCACTTTACCAGTTTTTTTAATAATGACAAACAATAATAAATTCTTATCAATCCTAGGGTCTAAAATGTCATTGAATGTTTTGATGTGAGATTCAAATGACATAAACTGGTACTTCCATTTGAAGGAGGCTGAAATTCTGTTAACTCTGTGTGATGCTAACAGAATCATCAATATTATGGACCTATTGTTGACCCTTAGAGTATGTATTTCTAATTTTCAATTATTCATCATTGTGCTTTTCATCTAATTTATAGTGTTATTTCACAATGTAGAACATCATCATTGTCAATCTTTATTACAAAATGCAGTAATTAATTCTTTGAGCAATCAACCTCACAAGATTTTACCAAGTACTATGGTTAGAGATGTTCCATGCGCATGAAAAAAAATGCAATGCGCATGATTTTTTTTTCAAATCATGCAATGTCACATACAGAAAATGCGGAAATTAAATTTTACCCAATTAAAATTAAATGCGCAT